GGGGGTTGTCGGAGTCTAAAGATTGTACGGAGTTGGGTTTTGCTTCGGGGAGGTTTTGTATGTCATTTTTAGGCTTCAATCTAGGTGTTGGGGTAGATCAGAGAGTGGTAAGGTTATTAGGAGATTAGTGTCGCAGGAGTTCGAGGGAGTCAAGGAGTTTCGTGGTCCTTTCGTGAAGCTAAGCGCTAAATCACTTAAAAATTGAGCCCCAATCTGTAATCACAACATCAAGATGAGTCGAACGGTGTGTTTCAGGCGTTGACAGCCACCGACGATCACAACGGTGCGGCGGTCGGTGACAACTGAGTGGTGAATGGCGACGAGTTTGGTGAGTCTCGGTTGGGGGAGGGTTATGAGAAATGGAAGGTTTTTTTGGAGGCTAGGGTTACACAATGAATCCAAAATAAAAAAGGGAGTTTATATAGTAGAGGTTTAGGGGTATATTAGCCTGAAGTTTGTCTACTTTTATCTCGTATTTGTATTTTAGTTACCTGTTGTGACCTTTTCGAGATTATTTTAATCTTTATGGCCTAATTGTGTGATTTTACCTATTATGATTATTAGTATGTTTCAGGTTGATAAAAAAGAAAATTACACATAGGTCATCGATAATTTAATGCGTTTTTAGGATTGTTCTCTGCTTGCCTTTATTTTGTTTTTAAATTCAAATGTATGAGCACTGTTTGCATGATTTTCCATCTTTTTGTTAGCTTAGAACAAGTAGCGAAATTTATATTATAACCCCTAAAAGCTACCGTGTTTTTACGTTTTGGTCACCTACGAGGACCAAAAATAATATTTTGCCTTTTATTAATTGCACCAATTTCTTTATTTCCCTTTTTACTCATGTCATGTATGGTTGGTATATTTGCTCTCGCACCCCTGAACCTTTAGCGTGTTTTTTACACTTTAGTTGCCAAATTTTTTTATTTTGATTTTGGTACTCTGTTTTATTTCTTTTAAATTTATTCACTATGTTGTTATGTTATTTCTCTGAAATTAACTTTTATATTTTATATTTATTCATTTTAGCCACTATTTGGACTCTGCCTCTTTATCTTATTTATGATTTGGATATGATAGTTCCAATTTATGCATTTTAGTCACTTTTTTATTTCTGATTTGGTTACAATTTTTTATTTTATTTTATTTCATTTTGGTCTCTTATTGTTTATATTCGAATAGTAAACCTTAATAGACCTTGGGACGATCCACCTTGGGGTATGACTCGTATTATTTATGGTACGAGTAATAATTAAATTAACCCTAACCTTTTTTATTTGATTAATTTATTTTTCTTTATTTATAATTTTACCTTTAAATTTTTGTTATTTTAATTTGTGTATTTACTTTTAAGTATTAACATTTCAGTCCTTTAAATTCAAACTTTTAATTTTCTGTAATTTCTTAATTTAAACTTTATGTTCTGATTTCTCTCATTTAGTCCTTTATTTAATGTTTAAATTTTAGTTCTACATTTTTACATTGTTCCAATTCGATCCTTTTATATGTGTTAATTGTTTTTTTTTAATTTTTGGTCTTCAATTTTAATTTCTTTAAATTAGTCCTAGAATTTTAAGTTTTAAATTAAATCTTTTGATTTAGATTTTTAATATATGACTCGTATTATTTATGGTACGAGTAATAATTAAATTAACCCTAACCTTTTTTATTTGATTAATTTATTTTTCTTTATTTATAATTTTACCTTTAAATTTTTGTTATTTTAATTTGTGTATTTACTTTTAAGTATTAACATTTCAGTCCTTTAAATTCAAACTTTTAATTTTCTGTAATTTCTTAATTTAAACTTTATGTTCTGATTTCTCTCATTTAGTCCTTTATTTAATGTTTAAAGTTTAGTTCTACATTTTTACATTGTTCCAATTCGATCCTTTTATATGTGTTAATTGTTTTTTTTTTAATTTTTGGTCTTCAATTTTAATTTCTTTAAATTAGTCCTAGAATTTTAGGTTTTAAATTAAATCTTTTGATTTAGATTTTTAATATTTTAGTCCTAATCTAGATTACTTACATTCTTAATTTAGTCCTTAAATTAGGCGAATTCTTAATTTGGTCATCGCTTTTGTTCAATGTTCCACTTTAATTATTCAAATTGCAATATTGATTAAAATTAATTTAAGTTAATATTAGAGCCTTCACTTTAGGTTTAATTTCTTTAGCACTCTAATTTAGGGAATGATTCGATTTTAGTTATCGTATTTAGATGCATGAGGGCTTATTTCAATTATTCTATTCAATAAAGAATGATAATTTATTAGGGTCACTTTAGCTGATCTTCCGCATTTATGCTAGGGGCGAATGTTATTGGCTTTAATAAACGAATACCCTTTTCAACTTTGCATCTATAATGATTTTTAATTAGATAAAGTTTGAACTCAAAATTTTTTATTCTAAATATGTGGTAATCAACTAGGTACCAATTTTTGGGCATTGTAGGGGTTTTAATCCTTCCCCATACTAACTAACTCTCGAACCTATTTTTTGGTTTTTACAGACCCTAAAACTTGGTATTTTGATAAAAATATGTTTTATTAAAATCAACATATTTTAATGGTGTCCCAATCGTACCTTAAAAAGATTAGTGATGACTCCTCACATTTCAAAACCTTTTCAAAGAAAACCCCCAAGTCGTACTAAGTTTTTCCCCACCCGGTGAAAAACGGTGTCGACACAACAAAAGGAAAAACTTCCATGTGATGAGAAAAGATTTCAAGTTTTGAAAGAATCACAAATGTTATATTTTAATTGGATATGACCGTGGCTTATGGTGAGGGGGAGAAAGGTTAAAAATTCTGGTCATGTGTTGTTAGCATCATTCTTTTGTTTTTTTGTTCTAATTTCTTCCTATTTTAGATAAATAAGTTAAGATACCATCTCAATCAAAGGACAAGAAGAAAACTTGAAGGTGAGGAAGGAGCTGGAGGTATCCAACCTAACTATTTTATTTAAGGTATGTACCCTTATGTTTGGTTGATCCATATGGTTGTAAAGTAATTGTGAGTGTAGATGTATGTTCAGGTGACTTGGTGTCACTTCGATTTAATCCTTATTACCATTTGATAGGCGAAATCATAAGTTCAATGCTACAATCAAGTGTTAGTAAGTATGTGTTAAGTTTCAGTGGTAGAATTACGTAATAAGTTTAGTGATGGAATTACGTGTTCATTTCATTGGTGTAAGTACATATAGGTTTCAAAGTAGAATTATGTGATAACTTTGTGCTGAAATTACGTGTTCATTTCACTGATATAAGTACATCTTAAGTTTCACCAGTAAAATTATGTGATATTGTAATAAGTTTAGTGTTGGTACTGCGTGTTAATGTATGTAAATATGTGTTATGACATATGTTATGAAAATAAGATAAAATATGTATAGAAGCATAAATTAAAGATAGGTGAGTGATAAAGAACTACGACTCACTTGGTACGCGAAGATATGAAATCATAATTAATTTCTGAGTGACTCGTATGGAGTCTCGAAAGATAAGAGTGACTCGTACGGGAACACCTAATCATAATTAAATTCCGCGTGACTCGCACGGGAGCCCCGAAGGATTAGAGTGATTTGTATGGGAGCACCTAATCAAAATTAATTTATGGGTGACTCGTACGAGAGTCTCGAAGGATTAGAGTGACTAGTACAGAAGCACCTAATCATAATTAATTTCTAGGCAACTCCCAAGGAGCCTCAATGTGATTTAAATGACTCTCATGGGAGCACATAAAAGATTTTAACTATGTATGATCAATAATTCTAAAACGTCTTATAGTTAAAAGGATATACACGACTGATAAATGTGTATATTATGAGTCCTCAAAAGATTTCAATTCGTACACTTCTTGTTTGTATTACTTATTTATAATAAATGAATCTCCTAGAATAATTGTGCATTACTAAGCACTAGTGACTCACTCTGTAAATTGTTTACACCTCAGGTTCGTAGAAGTAGATCGTTCGTTATAGAACCGTCATCATCTTGGAATCCCAACCTAGCATTCAGAGTACAATATTGAATTCTTGTTTGGGCTAATGTATCCACGTACGTCTTACAGTATTGGTCTATGTACTTCATTTTGTTGTAAAATAATGACCCACTTCTGTTGAACATTCAATTCACTTTCGAATAATAAAGTTTTTGTTTGTCGATGTAACTAATATATCTTTTCCTTTTGAGAGAAATTATTGTCTAATGAAAATGAGTCTCTTTGAGGTGATGTACAAGTCCGTCGGGACCATGTTAATATGACACTTTAGGCCCAAACAGGCTTAGGGTGCTATAAATTATGTGTTAAATGTATTTTTTTTTCAAAAGTTAGATAATATAACATTTAAAATATTTATATAAAATTTTATTTTAATATTTATAATTTAATATCAAAGTTTAACTTATTGAAAAAAACTCATTTGAATAATTTAGTAAAATATGTATCCAAATAATCTTATATACCTCCAATCAAAAACTATAATATTATATTCTTACTAATCAAATCAAACAAGTTAATACAATATTTCCAATGTAATACAACATTCTAGTAATTTTACAGTTCATTAATGACCCCTAAAGATCTCCCAAAATCAATGAGGGTTCACATACCAACCTGAGCAACATGGATTGTGCGAAAATGAATACCGCAATCGCCATAAACATGGATGGGTTGAGGGTAACAAAGTAATATCTCCTGAAAATTTTCAATTATCATATATTTCAAAAATATTTCTTTTATAATTTCTATTCTCCACCTGTTTTCACCCTCTAAAACTTTATAAATTCATCTCCATTTAAAATTTTAAATTTTCGCAATCTCTATAGCATAAAAGCATACGTAGGTCATTAGCCATAGATGTTAAATAATGAAATAAACTTAACATTATACAATGAAATATTTTTTTTATATAATTTTGAATATGCAGGTGGTGTGTGCCCAACATACCCGCCAGATGGACCCAATGCCATAGGCGATGCATAAGAAGAATGGCAACCAAGTTTGTATGCATTCATACCAGAAATATACCGAAATGAAAGAATGAATCTTCAAAATTTTGATCCAAATGAATGAATCAAAACCTTCTCAAAAGAATCAAAAAATTAAATGTTTGATCACAAACTTCTAACACCTTCCTATTCTCCAATGTTTTGATGTCTCCTCATTTACACTCTTCTCTTTTTCCTAATCTCGTAAACTAGAAGAACTAACTCCATTGTTGCTACTTGCAAGCTGGTTCATTTACTCCCTCCTTCCGCCGCCATTGCATTTGGCGGCAAACCAACTCTTCCAAGGCTTCTTTCATCCACAGATGCGGACATTCCTCTCTAGCTTTCGACACCGTCACCTGTAACATAAGAACACCATATTCAATACATATTCGAAGCAAGACTTTAGAGGAGGGTTCACAGCCAGCTTTTAAAGACATTTCAACAGATCACATTCCTCTCAATCAAAGCAATGCTATTTGATTTTCAGCAAAATGCATACCCATTGGCGTTTTCGGATGTTTTTCTCAGGCCATTGGTCTAACTCTTGCTTGACAAGCAAAGCAAACATGTGGCCTTCATGGAATATACTTTGTCTCTTGCTCTTATATGACCATTTACCCAATTTGCACTGCAAAAATAAACACACAAATAAGAAACTACAAGCATTAATGAAGATTGTTGAACTTGAAGAAACGCATGGTAGAGATGCTCACTTCGATCTCGCCGATAACACCGGCTTCCTCGATCGTCTCTCTAACGGCTGCTTCTTCCATGGATTCATCCTTCTCCCAACCTCCCTTGGGGAACAACAGTCCTTCACCATTTTGTGCATTAATTACAAGAACTTCAATGGCTTCATCAATCGAATTCGCTTCTTCTGGTGTCTTATATCTGTACGGAATGCAGCTGCCTCAAAGAAATATATATTCAGAAACTTTCTCAAAGATTACATCCAAAGAACCCAGAAGGAAAATTAGTCAAAATTTAATTATTCATCCACCGGAAATAGACCCAACCAAGCCAGTCTCAAAATTTCATTAAATCAATTCAAAACATGAGCAAAATCAAACCAATAGAAAAAGGAAAGTAGGGTTTGGGTTGTTTTTTTTAATTATTTAATTTCGCAGCATATTCAAAGAACTAATGAAAGAAAGAAAGAAAGAATAATTACCCAACAACTAATCGAAAGCCTCTGTTATTATAGCGCTGCAAGTGCCTGCCAGTGCGAGAATAAGAAACACGATGAACCAATTTCTCAATCGGCACAGGCAATTTGAAAGCGGTTCTTTCGAGGAGAGACAGCAAAGAGTGGGGCAAAGGGGGAAACTTCATAAGAAAGCCCGAGATCCCTCCCATGGATGCAGAGAGAGAAGAATTGCAAAAGGCAAAAAGGATATTGCAGAGTTTTAGATGATTTTGTGTTGGCAAAATTCACACTCAATATCTATAATTAGAAATTTTCAATTTGTAGATGTTTTATGTGAAGTTGAACCGCGTCTGGCACTCTTTTTAACTTTCTTTTATTTATTTTTGAATAAAGGATTAACTTTCTTTTATAGAGAGTGGGAAGGAAGACGAAGGAAAGGGAAACGAAGGCCTCCATAATACTGACGCATTATTTTGTTGCAAAAAAGTCAAATCCTAGTTGTAAATTTTAATGAAAATTACCGAGTGACCATCTAACTATTATTTTTTTAAGTTTGACCACCGATGTTTTGATTTAACTAATCAGATCATCCAACTATTTCAATCAACCTACTATCCGTTAATTTTTAACAGAAGAGGTGACATGAAAGTTAAAAAACTTGGTCTAATTACATATTTGTTCCTCAATATTTATACATTCTTTCAATTTAATTAAAATAAAATTTAATTTTCAATTAGATTGTGAAACGTGTGAGTACCTTATTGAGTGAGAAAATGAAATGCTAGAATAATGCTGCCAACGGGAATTGAACTTGGGTTAGGAAGTTGAATTGCCCACACCTGAACCGTTGGGTACTAATACGTGTCACAATCTAATTGAAATTAAAATTTTATTTTAATTAAATTAAATTATGACTAAATTGATAGAATATGTAAATATTTATGACTAAATATACAATTATACCAAGTTTTTTAATTGTCACGTAGACTTGGAAAATTTAACCCGAACTCGATTATCTGAACCGAGACTCGAAATAGACCTAAACATGATGACCCAAATTTGACTCGAAACCCAAAAAAAATGAATCGAACCGAAACGACCTGAATTTTAACCAAACTGAAAGTGATTCGAATTGAATCGAAATCGACCCGAATTTAACCAAACCGAAAGCAGCCGAGGCAAAAATAACCTGAACCGAAATTAACCCGATTTAATTTGCGTAAACCCGATCTTTTTTACAAAAATACATCAATAATTCTATATATACTTGATTTGACTTATACCCAACTCAACTTGAATTGAAGATCCAAAGTTGACCCAAACTTAAAATAATTGATCGGATATTGACCTAACATGGAAATCAAACGATATGATATGACTAGACCTAAATACCCGAACCGACCTGACTTTTTATAGACTCGAACAAAACTGAAACCTGAAATGACCCGACCCAACCTGGACCTGACCCAACTTACTATAGACCCAATAAAACTGAAACTCGAAATGACCCGATCCGGCCCAAACCTGACCAGAATTATGTTTAAACCGAAATGACCTAAATTGAAATGACCCGATCTAAATGACTGTTTGCCACCTCTACTGCCACATCACATCCTCAGTTAAAAGTTAACGAATAATGGCTTAATTGAAGTATTTAAATAGTTGGGTTGTCTGATTGATTAAATTAAAACATCGTGGTCAATGTAAAAAGGGTAATAGTGAGGTGGTCACCCATGTAGTTTACCCTAAATTTTAAAACAAAGATTCCTCCCACACGCATTTTAATTTTGTTACTTATTTTTTTCATTTTTAATTACCAAATGTAAAGGTCAAAGCAAATGTCAATATCGCTTCATATTATCGTTAAAATTATTTTTTAAAAATAGAATGTTATTTTTAAATATAATATGATAAAAAAACAATTTTTTATGTAAATACAAGCAAAATATTTTATTAAAAAAAGAAAAAAATTACCGACAGAGGTTGATTTAAGTGGTAAGCAGCTTGATATCGCTTAAGCAAAGTTTCAAGTTCGAGTCCTTGTGTATGCAGAAAATCCATGCTGGGAGACTCACCCACCAAAGTCAGGTGTGCGGCACGAGTCGGTTCGGTTTAGTTAAGGTAAAACCTTAGAACCAGAAGGGCAACAAAAAAAATTAAAATTACAAAAAATATATATTTATAAGCTCAAATCAAACACATAATTAGGACAATGAACTCAATGGTTTAAAAACTTAATACGAGTAGATTGAGTTTTAGTTTATTTTAATTGTATTCTTAATTTTCTTTTGATTAATGTAGGATGATTACAAACAATAATATTTTTTTTAAAAATATTTTTAATTATTTAATAATAAATACTTAAATGTTATACAATTATTAGTGCTCGAGCCTACAACTTTAAAAATAAAGATTATTCCTTTTAATCATCGATATCGTTAAATTCGTACATGTACACTCAATTTAATTCAGTATGTTTTGCTTTTTTAAAATATTAAATTATTTTATAATTTAAATTTTATTAATATCGATTTTTTATTTTAAGTCATTAAATTAATAATGTACACTCAATTGGATGAATTGATTATATTTAGCTCAAGTGAATATAATCAATTAAAAAGTTAATGATTTTTTTCTAGAATCTAATTGTAGAAAAATCTACAATGAAGGCCAAAACTCAAAAGGTAAGGATTGTAGGAAAGACGCGCATGAAAGAGCGATTGCTTACACTTGCGTTCCTTTGCTGTTATAAACGAGAATTCGTGTTTGTGAGTGGTGAGCGCGTGTGAGATACACGCGACTTTCTGCTAATGGTTGCAGCCAATATCGAGTAACACGGTTTTGGTGCCGCAATTCCAAGTCTCTTTTTCTCTTATCTTCATTTCCTTCTAAGTCGCAATCATAACTTATGAATTAATCAAACCCCCGAAGGTTCTATCTTTACAATTTGGACAAAAATATCGTTGTATGGAAATTGTCACATAAGCGTACGACACTAACTAAACGAGTTTTGATTCAATTTTATTAGGTATGTATCCACTCATTTTCGTCAAGTGTTTTATTTAGTATATATAACATATATAATATATAGTTTTGGAAATTATTTTTTTGAAAATATATATAATATAGTTTTGAAAATATATATATATATATAGTTTTTGAAATATTTTTTTGAAAATATATATAATATAAAGTTTTGAAAATATTTTTAAAAATATATATATATAATATAGTTTTGGAAAAAAAATTGAAAACGTATATAATATATAGTTTTGGAAACTATATAATATATAATTTTGAAAATGTATATAATATGGTTTTTAAAACATATAGTATATAGTTTTTTTCTAAAAAATGATTTTTGCAACATATAATTTTATTATTATAATTTTATTTTGTTTATTGTTTATTTTTTAGGGTCCAAATCTAGTCCACAGTTCAATCCAGAAAAGGTCCAAGCATACAGGCCTGATCTAGTCCATAAGCAAGATAGGGTTGCAAAACCCTAATCATATAAAGCCAAGCGTCGCACGAGAAGAAACACCAGCGCAAGTGGCGGCCACGCACCAAACGACCGGCGGGATTTTCGGCCGAACAACCTAGGACTCACCCATCTTGAGCTTTCCAACCACACCAACGGGACTGAACCATCCCGGGTATTCAGCAACAACGTCGTCCATCCAGATTAAATCGGGAGATATGGTTAAAACGACCCCCCGAAACTGACGAAAAATAGCCCCGATTGGGGGCTATAAATACCTCATCAGAGAACATGAGAGAAACACACCGTGAGTAGCCAAATACCAACAAAAACAGAGAAAAAATGAAAGCAACATATCAAGTCCATCCCGATTAAATCGGGGGACGAGGGTAAAACGACCCCCCGAAATTGACGAAAAATAGCCCCGACTGGGGGTTATAAATACCTCATCAGAGAATAGGAGAAAAACACATTGTGAGTAGCCAAATACCATAAGAAACAGAGAAAAATGAAAGCAACATATCAAGCAAACAGAGATCGAGCAAGGAAAAAAGTAACCAAATACTAGTCATGAAAACCATATAGCAAAAATTAACCACAAAGCAACAAATCCAAAACAAAACACCAATAAATCGAAATCAAAACTCAAAGCCAAGGGCTTCGTTTCGTCAAAGTTCGTTGGAAAACCGAAGCAACACATCGGAAGGAAAGGTAATGTCGACAGTTGTTTTAGTCCGAGTGTTGTATTTATTATATATATATTACATATATATATATAATATATTATTATTATTATTATTACAAAAACCCGAAGGCCCAGTTACAAAGCAAGGCTCGAAAGCCCACTTATAACCAGACCCAACAACCCGGTTTAGGCCCAAATTGGCTCAAATGCAATTATGGTTTCCAGCACTCTTCCAATCACCGGCTCATCTCCACCGCACGATCATGAAGAAAATCAAGGGTCTAGATTTAGCCAGCAGAAGCCCTAGGGTTTCATTACCTAAGGCCTATTCCGGCCGCCGCTTCCAGGTGCTCCAACTGCCCAATGACACGCTGCCACCGCCTCAGTAGAAGGATCCAGAAGGTGTAATGGAGCCGCACAACTCACTGCTCTATGGTGAGTCACCACCATAGGTCCGATGACTCACCGAAAAAACCATCATTACAGCCGATCTCCGAGGCCTATATAAGGTCGATCCTGTAAGATAAGAAAGGGAGGAGACAGTAGCTAGAAATAGAGAGATACACCAAAGAGAAACAAACATTCATACGAAAAAAGAGAGAGAGAAAAAGAACACGGAGACCGAAAGACTTACCCAACCACTGAAGCTTCAACGTCGCCAGAACCGCCGTGAAATCGAAGGTAAAACCTTCGGTATTTTTTAGATATAGGATAATATGAAGGCTTTTAGGAAGATTAGAGGCTGGATTTGGATAGAGGGTGTTACGATCTACATTTTGGGTGATTTTATTATTTTTCGACCACCGTGGGTGGTGGCTGTCGGCTGCGATAGGCGTCGAAACATGGTTGTCGATGGGTGACTGATGTATCTTCAGTGAGGGATTTTTAGAGAGAGTTGAGAGTTTCTCTCTCTAGGATAGAGAAGCCAAATGAAGAAATGAGAAGAAAATGGCCCTATGGGCCAGTTTAGGGCTATAAATACCCTCTTTGAACGGTGTCGTTTTGGGGAAGGGCTTCTGGGTAATTAGCATATGGGTAAATTATACCCGTGGTCCCTGTATTTTGTAAACTTTACAAG